GGATTGGGACTACTGAGACATCCAGCCTTGTGGACTGAGCGACTACAGATTCTCAGCCTCTCCAGTGTGGTGCAGCCATTGTTGGACTACTCGGACTCTATCCTGTGAGCTAAGCTGATAAATCTTTATACATATTCATTCTACTGGTTCTGTTTCCTTGGAGAACCCTGACTAATACAGTATTAGAGTGACACTGGTGTCATAGAAGAAATTTCAAAGTTCTCCCTCCATTTCTATCTTTTTGAATAAATTAAGTAGTATTGGATGTAGATCTTTAAATGTCTGGTAGAATTCTGCTGTAAATCCATCTGGTCCTGGGCTTTTTTTTAGTCAGGAGGTTTTGTATTACTGTTTCAATTTCCTTATGTATTATGGGTCTGTTTAAGCTGTTGATCTCTTCTTAGTTTAGTTTTGGTGGTTCCCATGCTTTTAGATACCCATTTCTTTTAGGTTTTCAATTTAGTAACGTATAGGTTTTTAAAGTATTCCCTTATAATGTTCTGTATCTTTCTGGTGTCTGTTGTGATGTTTCCCCTTTCATCTTTGATTTTGCTGATTTGGAGGTTCTCTTTCTTTCTTTTGGTTAACTGGGCTAGGGGGTCTGTCAGTCTTGTTTATCTTTTTAAAGAACCAGCTCTTGGATTAGTTGATTCTTTGTATTGTTTTGTTTCTATTTCATTAACTTCTGCTCTGACTTTTGTTATTTCTTCTTGTCTGCTGTGTTTGGGCTTCATTTCCTGTTGCTTTTCAAGTGGCTTGAATTACAATGTTAAGTCATTTATTTGTGTTTTGATTTTTTTAATGTAGGCACTTAGAGCTATAAACTTCCTTCTAAGGTCTGTTTTCAATGTGTTCCAGAGGTTTTGTTGTGTTGTATTGTCCTTTTCATTTAATTCCAGGAATACTTTTCTTTCTTAATTTATCCATTGACCCAGTCATCATTCAGAAGTGTGTTGTTTAATCTCCATGTGTTCATGTAGTTACTAGGCTTTCTTCTGCTGTTGACTTTAAGCTTTATTGCATTGTGGTCTGATAGAATGCATGGAATTACTTAAACCTTTTTATATTTGTTGAGGTTTGTTTTGTGCCTCAGTAGATGGTCGATTTTGGAGAAAGTTCCATGGGGTGCTGAATAGAAAGTATATTCTTTGGTGCTTAGGTGGAATAATTGGTAGATGTCAGGCCCATTTGACATATGGTATTGTTTAATTCAGATGTCTCTCTGTTAATTCTCTGTCCTGTTGACCTATCTAATGGAGACAGTGGGGTACTGAAGTTCCCTACTATTAATGAGTTGGGATTAATCTGGGTCTTAAAGTTCTATAGTACTGTTTTTATGAAGTTGGGAGCACCAGAGTTTGGTGAATATAAGTTCATGATTGTAATATTTTCTTCATCAACTGTTCCTTTGATCAGAACAAAGTGGGCCTCTTTATCTCTTCTGATTAGTTTTAGTTTAGAGTCTATTTTATTAGACATTAGAATTGCAACGCCTGCTTTTTTCTTAGTATCATTCGCTTGGTATGTTTTTTTCCATCCTTTCACCTTAAAGTAGTACCTGTCCTTGAAAGTGCAATGAGTTTTTTGAAGACAACAAAAAAATGGGTTTTGTTTCTTAATCCATTCTACTAGTCTGTGTCTTTTGACTGGGGAGTTCAGTCCATTGATATTTAGTTATTAATGAAAGATGTGTATTGATTCCTGTCACTTTTTTAGTTATTAATGAAAGATGTGTATTGATTCCTGTCACTTTTTTTTTCTGTTCACATTCTTGGTGTAGCTGTGCCCTTCCACAGTTATACCTTCATTAAATTTCTTTCCATAACCCCTTGGGTATAGCCGTTCCTTTCTTCAGCTCTTTGTATTGTTTCAAGAACTCTCTGAAGGGCTGGTTTTGTGGGCATGAATTCCTTCAGCCTATTTATGTCATGCAAGATTCTTCTTTCCCCTTTGACTATAATAGACATTTTGGCTGGAGTAATCTGGGTTGGCATCTGTGGTCATTTAGAACTAGGAATACTTTGGTCCAGGCTCTTCTGGCTTTCATAGTTTGCAATGAAAAGTCAGTTGTAAGCCTGATGAGTTTTCCTTTATATGTGACTTGTTGTTTTTCTTTTGCAGCTTTCAGTATTCTTTGTTCTGTATAGTGTTTTTACTATGATGTGGAGAGTTTCTTTTCTGGTCCTGTCTATTTGGTGTTCTCTGTGCTTCTTGTATTTGTATGGGCATGTGTTTCCTTAATTTTGGGAAATTTTCTTCTACAATCCTGTTCCATACCAAGATCTGGTCCATACCATTATCCTGAGATTCTTCTCCTTCCTATATACCTATGTTTTGTAAATTTGTTCTTTTTATGGTGTCACACAATTCCTGCATATTCTATTCTTGTGTTTTCTTAAATTTTTCATAATCTTTGTTTGAGTGGTCTAATTCATCTACTTATCTTCCGGTCTTGATATTCTGTTTGCCATTTCATTCATCCTATTGGTGAGGCTTTTTCCTGTCACTTCTATTTGGCTTACTGTTTCACTTCTTCATTTCAGCCTGAGCAGTCTTCAATATTTCTAGCTCTTTTCTGAATGAAATCAGAAGTTTATTCCTATCTTCTTTCAGTTCTTCGTGTGTTCTTTAAATTCACTAAATTCTTTGATCATGATTACAATTGTTCTTTTGAGTTCTATGGCTTGTGTTTTCTCTAGGGGGTTCTCACTGTACTCCTCTACAGGACTGATGGTACTTGGTGGGGATATATTATTTTGATTTTCCATGTTATTTTTTCTCTGTGACTTTGATATGTGGATTTCTTTTGTAGATTCTGGTTCTTGTTTGAGACTCAAGCCTTCCTTTGTTGAGTTTTGGTCTGCTTCTTTTTGTAAACTTTTTGTGCCTTTTTGGTTTACTTGTTGGACATGAAAAGCTGGTTGGTCTAGGCTTCAGGTTCTCTCTTTTGATTTTATATTGGAGTAGCCAAATTCCTTTCGTCTTGCTGCTCAGGAGTTCCCACAGAGGCCCAAGTCAGATGAGGATTAGATGCTCTCAGGCTTTCTCCTAAGGTATGGATCCCTCCAGGAAGATGCTGGCCTCAGGAGTTTGAGGGCTAGGCTGGCCTGGGAACAGGGTCCAGGAAAGATGCTGGCCCCCAGGAATGTAAAGGGAGGTGGGGACGAGAAAGGCCCAAGGGCACCTGGGGATTACAGGGAGGAATTGGGTTGGTCTGGATGCAAAGGGTCAGGAAGCACTGGGGATTCTGGGCTAAGAGGTCAGTCCATGGGTCTGGGGTGTCACAACAAGAGATGGGTCAGTGCCCCTGTTAGGAGGAGAGATGGGGTGGGGGAACTGGGAGGGTGAATGAGGCTGGGGGAGTCAAGGCGCAGTGGGCACAGCAGCCAAACATACCCAGGCAAGCTGCTGGCTCCAGGAAGCTGTGGGGCTGGGCCGCCCAGAGATGCCAAATTTTTAAATGATTTACTCTGTGTGTGTGTGTGTACCTGGAGGTCAGAGGACAATGTGAAGGAATTTGTTCTTGCCTTCCACCATGTGGGTCCTGGGGATTGAACTCAGGTTGTCAGGCTTGATGACAGGCTCCTTTACCTGCTGAACCATCTCTCTGGTCCAGTGTGAATATTCTTGATGCAACAGAAATGAACACCTAGTTTTTTGTTTTTAATTGAGATGCCAGGGATTAAAGTCAGGGCCTTATCCATGCTAGGTAAGCACATTTCTAAGCATAATTGCAAATACAGGTATCCTCAGAATAGAAAATTCTCTTTTGGATCTTCAAAAATTTAAAAAAACCCACACCTTGCATATACTGCTCTTCATAAAAGTAATTATACATTCTGAATTGAGATCTCAAGACTGTATTTTATGGAAACATTGTCTAAAACCATCCTGCATTTTCCATCACCTATTCAATGAAACCTTGTTTACCACCTCTGGTTGATAAATAGCAGGATTTGGGAAATCTGGCTTCTCTTGGAATTTACCCCAAATTTCTGACAGTTCTTCTCATAAAATCATCTCATCTTTAAGCAGGTGGGGTGCTGAAAGCTAGCCAGTAACATATGTGCTTATATGCATACATTTGCAACAGGAGTACTCTTGTCTATATATCAATCTGATTTAGATCATAAGAATCAACATGCTTTTATGATAAATATGAGAATGTAGTGAGAACAATGGCATTTACCGATGATGTCTGCATAGATTTCCATTTTGTTGTGCTGCTGAGCCAGGGTGAAAGCTTCATTGTTACATTTGGACATGACCAGAAACTGGATGGCAGACCCATAGTCACCAAGCTCTAGAAAAAACCTGTAACAAAGGACTTTAATTAGCTTGACCCTCTTGTAAAATGGGTTAAGTTTATGACTGTGATGGTCAATACTGATTGTCAACTTGATAGGCTCTAGAATTATCAGGAGATAAACTTTTGGGTGTGCCTGAAGGTGTTTCTAATTTGGGTTAACAGAGGTACAAAGACCCACCTAAATGTGGGCAGCAGCAGTTGGTGGATGAGGATCCCAGACTGAACAGAAGGAGAAAGTGAGTTGAGCATCAGCATTCATCTCTCTCTGCTTCCTGACTGTGGATATAACCTGACCAGCTTCCTCACACTGCTGCTGCCATTCCTTCCCCACCAGGTTGAACAGTGTCTCCCGAACTAGGAGCCAAAATAAATCCTTCCTCCTCCCTTAAGTTGCTCTTGTCAGGTATTTGATCACAGTAATGAAAACAGTAATAAATACAGTGACTTATCAAACAAATCTTGTTTCTACCAGGAGAAACCATGTAAAAATGTGTTGTACACTGCAGTTCTGTACTGTCCATCTGTATGTGACAGACATACTCTGACATGCTGATCACAACAAAAAGCCTTTGCATTGAAATACCTAGATCTAACAAAAAAAAATAAAAAAGAATATATATTCCTTCTGAATTTATATATTTGGTGAGGAGAGGTGGGGGGGCGGGCTTTCTTTTAAAGTTAATTTTTAGAAGTCTAAATCTATGTGTGTGCAGTGTCACCTGGCTACCATCTTGGCTCCATCCAGAGACTGGGTCTCTCTGACAATGCTGACAGCCTTTTCGGGGTTATTGAGATGGTCCAGGTAGATCCGGATGACATTGTTCCATTGTTTTGCATTTTCATATGCCATAACGGCTTCTTTGTATCTGCATAAAACGCATAGTTCAGATGAACTTTCACAACACTGTCAATTTTTTTTGGAGGGGGATGGGGGAGAAGGATGCCAATATACATGTTGGGGACACTTTTCTATTTTACTGACAGTGGTTTAGTTTTCTTGCACTTCTTTCTCCTTCATTAGAATAAAATACCAGGACTCTCCTACTAAAATGCATTCTTGTGGCTGGAGAGATGGCTCAGCAGTTAAAAGCACTGGCTGCTCTTGCAGAGGACCCAGGTTTGATTCCCAGCACCCATATGGTGGCTAACAACCATCTCTAACTCCAGTTCAGGGGAAGCTGATGCTCTTCTGACCTCCGTGGCCATTGCATGACATGTGTGCACTTACACACATCCAGACAATATACTCAACTCATACAAAATAAAAATAATAAATAAAATATTTTAAAATGCATTCTTTTTAGGGGCTTGATAAATGAACTGTAAAATACCAATTCTGAATTTTATTTTCTCATATAAATTAAAACTAGGCAATTTGTTTGTATTTTACTGTGCTTTTTAAATTTTTAAGTAGGAAGATTATAATATCAATATAGACTTATTATTAAAAAAACCCTAGAAATTACAGAATGCTTCACAATCACATAGACAAAGCTTAACAGTGAGATATAAAATCTTTAGTATGCTGACCTCAAGATTTCTTAGTTTGAATTAACTTTTGGCACCTCCAATTTCAACAAGATGCTTAGTGTCAATCAGTATCAAGTTCCCAAGGCTACTTTTCTTAAAGTGCAAAGTATTACTAACCTTTAAAAGTCTCTTTTTTTTTTTTTAACATTTACTTATTTATTTTTATTTGATGTGCATGAGTGTATTGCCTGCATCTCTGTAAGTGCACCTGTGGCATGCAGTGCCCATGGAAGACAGAAGAGGGCACTGGATCCCCTGGAACTGGAGTTACAAATGGTTGTTAGCTGCCATGTGGGTGCTAGAATTCGAACCTGGGTCTTCTTTAAGAACAACCAGTGCTCTTAACTGCTGAGCCATCTCTCCAGACCTGTTTAAAAGTCTCTTAACAGACACTTTCCAAAGTTATTTTCCAAAGGCTGTAGAAATTTACATTCCCATCCGTCATGTATAACAAGTACATTTTGACAGTATGGTTAATATATACATTTGTGGTTAATACAAAATAAAGACAAATTTCAAATATGGTGGCATGCTTTTATTACTCTCAGTGGGTGGAACTTTGAGTGGTCACAGGAGTGGGGTTTGTGATGGTATTTCCTCCTCTATGACTTGCCTCTTTGTCTTCAGCTCCTTTTTTTGAGTTTCTTGCACCTATTAAGCTGCAGAAATTCTCAGTATATTTAGGATATTAACTAGTCATATTTCCTTTCTTTTTGTTCCTTCTGCATCTCTACGGCATCTTCCTTGATAAAATGATGCCATTTAACTCCGTTTCCATGCCATATTATGCCAAAATGTTAACTTTCAGTACTTAAGCTCACATGAAAGAGATTGCAGAGTATGAATACATAAAGGTCTGTAATGCAGGTAGATACTTCAGCCAATG